CTCTTCCGATCTCCCCAAAACCCCAAAACCCCGATTGTTCATATAAGTTTAATTATAGAGATAAAAAATAAAATAGTGTAAGCGATAATAAATAATGTTAGATATCGAGAGAATAATTTTATATAGTCAAAAGTCATAAGCTGTAATTTTGGAGCATATTTTTCAATTCTTATAGATTTATCTATCACTCATTATTACGGAAGAAGCTTACGCTTACCTATTATATTGCAAGAGTTCCTACTTTTGCGTTAAGAGCATGAGCAATGCAAGTCCTGACAGAATTTATTGCTTTTTCTTAGTTCTCCATCTAAATTAAGAAATTCACTTAAAGCAGGAGTTGAATGTGAAATTTACTTTTTCAAAATAAGATAGTGGCTCATGCAACTAGAGTTCAAGCTAATGCTAATAGAATTCTATATAGTACATTTGTAGATTATCTACAGTTATCTTTAATGATGGATCATTATGAGATTCATCCCCAAATCCTTATGGTAAGATTTCTTTAATCAAATTTTCCGCTAAAATTATATCCCCAGTTACATATGAAAAGCCATTTCTGACCTGCAATAAATTTTAAGCTCCATTGAAAATTTTATCAAAGGATTTTTTGATATCTGGAATCTATTTCATGAAATTTACAAAGTTTTAAATTTGATCTTTCAGCTAGATTTAGCGCTAAAATAAATGGAATTAATAATTGTTGGCTAATTAATTTGCTTACATAAAAAAATTCCAAAAAATGAATGATATTTGGGTTGCGCTTGGCTCTAAAGTTATTTTACACAGATTCATTATAGAGGATGTTATTGAAGAAGTCATGATTGATAGCATCTATAGCATCTATTCTCTCAATAGGATCATGTTGTAACATCTCATAAATGAGATTTTTGGCGTCTGCCATTTGATCCCATTCCTTTCCATGAAAGTTGAACTCTGACTTGTATATCTTTTCTAGCAATTCTTCGCTAGTTCGAGCTTCAAAAGGAGGCCTCCCGCATATCAATATATAAAGGATAACTCCAGCACTCCAGATATCACTTCTCTTATTATTGCTACTTTCAACATCTAAGTTTCCAGTAATTCTCTCAGGCGCCATAAAATATTACTATATTATGGATGATTAGCGAGGATAATCACTTACCGATGAAATGGGAGAAGTATTTAGATTCTTTTAGCGCCAACCACTAGCTTAACAAAAGTTAGTTAAAATAATATGCGTTTTAATTGCTGTATTGTTATTGCTTACATTCTAACTCATTGTGTCTGATAAATCATCGAGGCATTCTATGTTGAATGGCTAGATTTCCTTATGTGAAACTTGCTTTGTGTGGCAATATTATATAGACAGTAATAATTCTTTCATTAAAACAGCAATCTGGTACTCAGTAGGAGTTTCTTTTTGCTTTATCAGGCATTCAAAGATATTATTAGATTTTGAGTTTTGCTTATCCGTTATACAACCAGAAACTTATATATAATGGTTAGTACTGAAATTAAAACTTTGTAGTTTTAGTATATTTGGATGACTGATTGAGATTACATTAGATATTTCTTTGAAATTTATGGTTTTCTCTTTTCTGTTGAATTTAGACTTTTTGACAATTCTTATAATCGCTCGATTATCAGACTATTTATTTTTCTCGTCTAAAATCCTTACCAACCGAGTTTCTGCAAATATACCTAAAATGCTAAATAAAAGTAAGATATAATTACTAAAACTGATAAGTTGAATGGTCTCAAATCTAAAGTTTAAGCAGGATGGAGCAGGTTGATTAATGAAATCTGATATGTTATTTATATTTAGAAATTAAAAGCAATTGACGTATCCTACACCTGAATGAGATGTTCCATCTGATCTTACATAATTTCTTATCCCTAATTTCATCACATCGTCCTTTTGGCAATTCTTATTATCCGAGTTAAACTTCATTATTTTCAATTTGCCTGGATGATTTATGTTCATGCTCAAAAAATTATCATCGGGAATTTTAATTTTGTTTTCAAGCAATTGTGTCTGTGGCTTAATTTGCTAATAATTTCGCTATCTTTTTGATTCCTCTATTACTATTATATCTTATGGGTCAAGAGGCACAGTTGCTCAGCCTGGTATAACTTGTCTGATGCTAGTGATGCTATGATCCTGTCTTTGAGATTCTATGATCTCTAGCTTCATGTGCCCGTTCAACTTTTTTTAGCTAGCCTTGTTTCTTTCTTTTCGGCTTTTCTAAATGAGCTTCTCCAAGTATTCTTGGGTCTTTACCTTTTGGCCCATTACTTAGGGTACTGTAGTGGAGTTATTTTGAAGAGAGGTGACTATTTCTTGCTAAGCCTCATTAGAGCAGCACTTTGCCAAGTTTTAATTTCCCATTTTAGATTGATCTCCAATAATTATACTCAATCCCAATTAAAAACTATTATCTTGAAATTATGATAAATATGCTTCAAATACTCCTTATTATTGTTTATTTGATATTGAATAAATTGGCTTATGGGGTTTTGGGGTTTTGGGGTTTTGGGG